ACCCTAAACCCCAAACCCTAAACCCTAAACCCTAAACCCCAAACCCTAAACCCTAAACCCTAAACCCTAAGTACTTGAGGGTCGAAGGCCAACAGCTTTCTGAGGAGGTCCCTCGCCAGGGGGTTTGGTACGCCGACGCCAGCAGGGTCGCGCGCTCTTAACAGCTCCGCGAACTGCAGCAGCAGCAGCAGCAGCAGCAGCAGCAGCAACAGCAGCAGCAACAGGAACAGCAATGGAATGATAAGTAGAAACACAACCAGGCAACCAGCAGCAACAACGCCAGCAGTAGCAGCAGCAGCAGCAGCAGCAGCAGCAGCAACTTAGCCAGACGCACAAGAATATTTCAGCAGCAGCACTGGGGACTGCTGATGCAGCAGCAGCAACAGCAGCAAAAGGGTCCACAGAAGCAGCAATTCAACAGCCAACACGAGCAGCAGCAAGCACCAGCATCACGAAGCATTCTTCGTAGCATAAGCAGCAGCAGCAGCAGCAACAGCAGCAGCAGCAACAGCAGCAGCAGCAACAGCAGCAGCAGCAACAGCAGCAACAGCAACAGCAGCAGCAGCAACAGCAGCAGCAGCGACAGCAGCAACAGCAACAGCAGCAGCAGCAACAGCAGCAGCAGCAGCAAAAGGGTTTACAACAGCATCATTGCAGTCCTGGTGGTTTTGTCTCGTTTGCTGCGTTCTCCCCATCCCACCAAATTCTTTATTATGCTCTGCTTCGTCTTTAAAGGAATCTAAGAGGCCACGCTGCAGCAGCAGCAGCTGCTGCAGCTGCTGCTGCTGCTGCTGCTGCAGCACTTGCTGCTGCGGACGCACCACCACCTCGCTACCTCCCCCCGCGCCCAGCAGCCGCGACAGCAGCAGCGAAAGCTTATCACGCACAAACCCTGTCTCCTGAAGGCAGCAGCAGCAGCAACAGCAGCAACAGCAGCAGCAGCAGCAACAGCAGCAGCAGCAACACCCAGACCAGGCTGTGTTTTTTTGTTTTTGTAATGCGAGGTGAATATCAGAGCCCCCACCCTCTTTCGGGTGT